TCACATTGTGCATTTTTTATTTTAAATGTTCACACATTAAAAATTAAATCATAGTTACAATAAAATTCTCCACTTTCAGCATTTTCTTTTTTTTTTTCATTTCAAATTTTTTTTTTTTTACTAAAAAAAACTTATAATATTTTCGATGGCTGTATGTAATATACTAAATGGTATATCGGCCGTTTCTTCTATAAAATCTTTAATCACAAATGGAAAATGGGATCCATCATACCGTACGCTTTTTATTTTATTTTCCTGTTTCAAGATAGTTGTCGTCTCTGTAATTTGTAAATTTTTTGTAATTTGATAATTTTTCATGTAGGACCTACGCTCACAAATCCGAATTGTAAGGTAACTATAAAGAAAAAAATTTTTTTTATAACTAAATTCTAACCTTTACGTGTTAGATTCATATTCCCGGATGGACTACGCAAATAGGATTATTTGGATTAGATCAATATATTTCATATCAAATAGTTTGTAGGGTAAGTGATTTTTTAAGGTGCCGATAACGATGATGACACGCTAATTCATTATTTCTCTACATTTAAATAGTTTTGGACAGGAGACGGATACGTAAATAAACTTATCATTTATAAAAGATACACAGATTTCTATAAACTGCATCAAAAACTTTTAAGAAAATATGGTTCTAGATTTGTACCTGCCCTACCACCAAAACAATCTGAAGGTACGATAAAAATAAGAAAGAACTTTTCGATAAAGAAAATTTTTATGTTTCAATAATTATTTTTATAAAAAATATTTAGGAAGATTTAAAGAAAAATTTATTGAATTGAGAAGGTTAGGATTAGAAGTTTATCTTGGGTGGTTAATAAAATTTTATTATGAAGACTTAATTACATTTTTAGGTGGAATCAAAAAGGTGAGTCGGCCAATTTATATTTATATGAAATGTTATTATTATTATTTTTTTTTTTTTAAAAAAAAAAGAAAAAATTTCCTGAAATTCGTAGGGAATGAAAATACAAACGGATGGAGACGAACATATTATCCGTGATAAATATACAAGGCCATTTAGGAGATATAACAATGTAAAGTTATTAAAAAGTTGTTTAACGAGTAGTTCTAGGCGTTATAAAACGTTTAAAGTACATTTTTCAACGAACGTTATAAATAATGAAAAGGCTTCTAAAAATCAAAAGAATTTACAATTTATAACAAACAGTTCTGATGTCATTGCTTATTATATATGAGTGATTATTTATTAAAACGAAGAAAGTGTTTTCTCCCTCGTTTTGGTTTTTTTTTTTTTATCCTGTAAAAAAAAGTGCAGAAGCAAAAGTTGTAAATTAAAAAAAGTTTTAAATAATCTTGTAACGTCATCGATTGTATGACATCGTGACCACGAAAAAATAAAATGTTTCACATGCAACAAAGTGAATATTGTATTACCAAAATTTTCAGGGTTCACAATATAATGTGATCATTATATATTTTATGAAAACTCTTTTATATTATAGAATCCAAGAATTATAGTATAACCAGAAGTATTTTAAAGAAAGAATAAGGTGAAAAAATTGTTCTGACATTTTCAAAATAAAATTACTATAAAATTTATCAAGAAGAAAGAAAAATAATAAATGTTGG